TTTATTCAGTTTAATTTTTTATTTTATTTTTTTTCGATAAAAATTTATCATAACGGATAAAATACAAGTTTGAAAACAAGTTTCCAATTAAATAGAAAATGAAAACAAAACAGGAAAACAAATATAAAACAAAAAACATTAATAAAAAAATGAAATTAAAAAAAAAAATTTTTTTTAATTTAAAAAATTAAACATTGTAAAAAACAAGAAACAAATGCTGTTCAAACAAAAAAGAATAACAATTGAAACAAATATAAAAGAAGAAAAAAATGAGGAATTCAAAAAATAACAAGAAACAAATGCTATACAAAAAAACAAGAATAACTTAAAAAAACAAATACAAAACAAGAAAAGACAAATAAAAAACAAAAAAACGAATTCAAAAGAATCAAAGTAATACAAACCAATAAAAAATGAAAAACAAGAAAAAAAATAAAAAAACATTGTAAATCAATATAAAACAAGAAAAACAGAAAATATAAAAAAATTTATCATAACTGATAGAATACAAGTTCGAAAAACAAGTTCCCAATTAAATTACAAAATTTCAGGGAATCAAAATGGAAATAATTTTTTTTTTTTTTTTTTTTGAATTATGGACATACGGGGAAGCGTAACGGAATAATGTTTTGGCACATGCTGTTAGTTGCACAGAGATTTACGTTCATCGTGAGTGACAACGAGCGTCCAGAATGTCATCACCTATGAAGAGTGACACTACTTACTTAACCGAATGACGGATTAAATTAGCTCCTGTTCTCAAGTTCTACATCAGTATTAAAATCCACTTTTTTAGTTTTCGATATTTTGTATATGCCTAGGGTTAATATTTTGTTTATAAAAAAATCAGAAAAAAATTATAAAACCAAAAAGTGGGTTTTAGAAATGAAAAGAAAATTAGAATTATTTATTCGTAGAAGAGAATTCTGACTATAAGGGAAACATTTTTGCTGTATTTTTTTTCGAGACAGAGAGAGATATTCTGTTTTATCGCTGCCGAAGGCCACACCACGAAATAGGCAAGTAACTACCAAAGTTATGCTAGAAACTCTATGGAGTAATCTGTATAAAACAGCCTATAATTAGGTATAAGATATAAGATAAATTTGGAGCCTAGCCACATTGGCCGAATGCCAGATTCATCTTGACGATCCTAAAGTAGAGACGCAGGATATGCTTAATGAAAAGGACGAGGGAACCAGATAGGAGGGAGGACATAATACCGAAAACGATATAAGCCAGCTTAGTTACATATGCCATATCCAACTATTACGAGAATATCACTTGTAAACATAAATCAAACTTAATTTTCTTTTTTTCTTTGCGCCAAAAAAAAAAAAAAAAAATACAAATGGAAATTAAGACAAAATTCTGAATTTTCCACGTTTGGTTTTTTTTATACTCTGTATAGTCACACAAAGTTTCACTATAACGGAAATCGTCCGGGAAGCTGTCGACAAAATGGAAAGGTCTCACAAATAAGCGAAGAAACATTACAATCCCCTTGCATGACATGATTTCTCCTTTACTGCGTTCTATGTCTCATAAAACATTTTACGAAGAGAACGTGACTTGACTTTACTCGAATTCTCGAATCGGATTAATTTTTCAAATGACGAAAAAGTGGCTTTTCAAATAAATTGAATTATAATATGGTATAAAAAGACAATTTGCCCTGACAATAAATTATAATTTGAATATTCCCTCATGAAAAATTGAAATCAATATTTATTCAATTACTTTTGTTTGTGTGTTGCTGGAAATTAATTTTTTAAATAAATCTGTAAATATTTGAGGTCGGATATTTCTTATTCGATGCAGCTTTCAATTAGAGAAATTTCCTCGATTTTTATTTAAAACAATTCCAATTTGAAACAAATTGAATCTTTTATTTAAAACTAATTTTGCCAATATTCAAAAAATATTTTACCCACATTTAAATAAATTTTAGTCTTAAAATTTCTAGCAAATTTCAGGCAAAGTAGAGATAAAATTTTTAATTTAGACGTAGAAGCGAAAAAACTGTCCAAGATGGATACTAGACAGTTAGTTAAAAGAAAAAAAATAGTAAGTAAAATAAGATAAAGAAAAAATCTTTTTTAAACTTTCCTTTCGGGAATTCTTACAATCTGACGATTTTTTTTTTAAATGATTATACCAGTTTCTTTCTTTTTGATAAAACTTCTCCAAGCTGATATATCGCGTGAGAATGCGCGACATGCAAACGAACACGACTTCTGTTATTCGATTCCCGTAGTTTTGAAAAAAATTCAAAGTTTTAATACACTTTTAAATGAAGCTTTACCTCGGCAATTATAAAAAGTTTCAGTGTGTAATTGGTCCGACGATGCGATATTTAGATGAGAAATAAAAAAAAGAAGCCCACTAGGAATGATCTAAATATTTGAAAAAGAAATGAAGTCTAAAAAAAATTTTATCCCTCAATCTCAAAAAATGTAAAAAAAAATAAAGAAAGTAGATTAAGGATAAATAAAATTAGAAAATAATGAAAGGAATAAAAATTGAGTAAAATATCTATTGGATATTAAAACGTATGGTTATATAATATAATTTATGGCAAATTAGAGTTTAGAAAAAAATATTTCATTCATTAAAATGTTAAAAACTTGAGGTACTTGAGCGTTAACGACACTGGAGTTTAATTTTGCCGTAAATCCTAGACCTCGTTTCGGAGTTTTACGACCGGGAGACTCAAGAAAGTAGAGAACTTGCAAAGTGACACGTGAAATCGGTCAATACTTCTCCCTCATAGCGCGCTTTTTATTCTTATCTCTGAAATATGCTATTTTGATCTCCGTTTGTGTAATTTAGCTTATCTGATTAAAAAAAAAAAGTGGTAAAATAGAAGAAAATCGCTTTTTTAAATAAAAACTGAGGTAATTTTTTTTCCTCTCGTGTTAAAATTACCTGCGTATGCAAAAGAAAACAAATAAAAAACAGAGGAAAGAAATAAAAAATAAAGAAAATGAAAAAATTAAATATAAAGCAAACTAAGATAAGAGAAAAACAAAAAAAAGGAGAAAACAAATCCAAAATAAGAAAAGCAAAAAAAGAAATTCAAAAAGCAAATGCAAATTAACCAATACATGAAAAATTGAAAAAAAACAAGTAGAAAACGTATACAACTAACACAAGAAAAAAATTGAAAAACTCAAAAACCAATGAGAAACAAATGAATACTAACAAAACGAGAATAACTTAAAAAACGAATACAAAACAATAAAAAACAAATTCAAACCAAACAAGACAAGAAATAAACCAATTATGCAAAATAAACAAAAGAAGAAAAAAGCAAAAAAAAAAAAAAAAAAAAAAACGAATACAAAACAATCAAAACAAAACAAATACAAAACAACAGAAAACAAGAAAAAACAAATAAAAAATAACCAAAGCAAGAAAAACCCCCAAAAAAACAACAGAAAAAATACAAAACAAGAAAAAATAAAAAAATAACTGTCAATCAATCAAAACAAGAGAAAATAAAATAGAAAACCAATATCAAACTAAAAAACAAGTATAAAACAAGAAAAAAAAAATTAAAACTTTAACAAGAATCAAATGCTATACAAACAAAACAAAAATAACTTAGAAAAAATAAATATAAAACAAACAAAACAAGGAAAAAAAAACTAATACAAAACAAACAAAACAAGGAAAAAACAAAAAAAAACTAATACAAAACAATCAAAACAAAATTAACAAAAAAAAAAAAAAGAAATACAAGACAAAGACAAAACAAGAAAAAGCAAATATAAAAGACTTTTGAGTCTTTAAACGAGAAAAAACTTAAAAAAAATAAATGTTAAACAACCCAAACAAGAAAAAAGAAAACAAAAACAAAACAGGAATACAAATATAATACAAAACAAATAAATAAAAAACAAGAAAAAAAATAAAAAAAACAAATGCTGTACAAACAAAACAAGATTAACAATAAAGAACAAATACAAAACAAGAAAAATCAAATAAAAAACTAATAAAAACAAATAAAAAATAACCAAAGCAAAAAAAACAAGTAGAAAACAAATACAAGAAGAAAATTTTAACAAAAAAATGCAAAACAATCGAAACAAGAATAACTTAAAAAAACAAATACAAAACAATCGAAACAAGAATAACTTAAAAAAACAAATACAAAACAATAAAAAAACAAGTTCAATACAAACGAAACAAGAAAAAACAAAAATACGAGTACAAAACTATCAAAATAAAACAAATAGAAAAAACACAAAACAAGAAAAAAAGCAAGAAACCAATGTAAACAATAGAAAACAAGAAACACCTTAAAAAAATTCTACAGAAAGCAAATACAAAACAAGAAAAAATAAAAATAAAATGCAAAACGTGCAAAACGAGAAATAACCAAAAAATCAAATAGAAAATAAATACGAAACAAAACAAAAAAACAAATACAAAATAAACAGAAAACGAACAAAAACCAATAATAAACTTAAAAAACAATAAAAACAAATAGTAAACAAACAACACAAAAATAACTTCAAAAAACAAATAGAAAACAAAAAAAACTCAAAAAACAAATAAAAAAATAAATAAAAACAAATACAAAACACGAAAAAACAAAAAAAAAAAAAATTCAAAAAACATTTTAAAAAAATGATAAACAAACAAAACAAGAAAAAATAAACAGAATCATGAATATTTGAAAACCTCAAAAATAATACAAAACAAATGCAAAAACAAACGATCAAAAAACAAATAAAACAAGTAGTGTTGCATTCGATCGAGAAATCGCTCGAAAAAAACGAGAAATCTCGTGAAGAAGGCAATGAAAAAAATTGAATGATAAATCACATTCAATTGTTTTCATTGTCTTCTTCACGAGATTTCTCGTTTTTTTCGAGCGATTTCTCGATCGAATGCAACACTAAAAACAAGAAATATATAAAATTTAATAAATAAAAATAGGATAAAGAATTTAATTTAAAATTTTCTAAAATTATATTTACTTTTTGTTACAGAGAGCCTCAGAGAGTACTTTACCAAATATGGAGACATCACAGAAGTTATGGTTATGAAAGATCCCACTACTCGGCGGTCAAGGTAAGTTTCTTTTCTTTCCTTTTCTTTTAAACAAAAAATATTATTTAAAAGTCAATACAAAAAATTTTTAATGAAATCATTAAGAACGAAGAAGAAAGCAAAAAAAAAAGTTAATAATAACAGTCAATTAACTTTGATCTCCAGTGAGTATTTTTTCGTGATTATTTTTTTTTTACTGTCTGTATAAAGATTTACACTTTTCATGATTAAAAATAAATAGTTTTGCATATTCAATTAACAGAAATTGACGGTTTCCGATTTCATGCGCGGTAATATAATTGACTTGCAACAAGAATTCAATTTTCAAATTAACAGCAATCAAATGAAATTCCGCATTCGCGTGCACCTGTCCACGTTTACTTCAAAATGCAATGGCATTCACATGCAATCGTCTTATGTATTATGCTAATTATAATGAAAAATTAACTGCAGACTTTCGTGAAAACATTATCATATATTCATTTTATTTTATGCAAAAATAATTCAATATAAAATACATACAATTTCCTTTTTTCGAAGGATAAATTCCTCGAAAAAATGGGGAAAATTAAAATAAGCCAGTCGGAAAATTTTTTTGTTTATTTAAATTTCGCGACAATATAATTCATTAAATTTGCCACCTAGATGGCGTGAAAATTCTCTCATAAACAAAATGAGGCGAATAGATTTTTTTGCTAATTTTAATTGGTGAGCGATTCTTTATTAATTTAAATCTAGACGGAGAACAATATTTAAAGAGTAAAAAATAGAGTAACAATTAAGTAGAAAGTAAAAAAGGGAGTAAAAAAGGGAGTAAAAAATGGGAGTAAAAATATTTGAGAGTAAAAATATTTGAGAGTAAAAATATTTGAAAGTAAAAATATTTGAGAGTAAAAATATTTGAGATTAAAATTATTTAAGAGTAAAAATATTTGAGAGTAAATATATTTAAAGTAAAAAATTTTTAAAGTAAAAAATACAGAGTAGAAAATATTTAGAGAGTAAAAAATATTCCAAGTGAAAAACAAAAGAGTAGAAAATGTTTTGAGAGTAAAAAATATTTAAAGTAAAAAACAAAAGGATACAAAACATTTGTAGAGTGAAAAATATTTAGAGATTAAAAATATTTAGAGAGTAACAATATTTAGAAAGTAACAAATATTTGCAGAGTAAAAAATATTTAGAGAGTAAAAATATTTAGAAAGCAACAAATATTTAGATTAAAAAATTGTTTATTGATTAAAAAGAAATTGAGAGCAAAAATATATTTACAGTAAAAAAATAGAGTTACAAATATCAACAAAAGAAATATAAATGAGCGGTAAATAAACAAGTACATTTAAAAGTATATTGAAAAAAAATATATATATATAAAAATATAATAAATAAAAGAGTATAACAAAAACACCTTAAACAGTGGCATGATTCATGATTGAAGAAATAATAATAAACAGCATACGATAGCCAGTAATTTTTCATTAAAACCGACCATTTTACGTGTACACTTTGAAGTTATTTTGAAAATTGTGGTTATGAAAGAGGAGACAACGTTCATTTAGCTATTCATCCCCGAGGATATTAAACATTTTTTATTGAAAATAATACGGTTATTATTAGTACTTTATTTTTTATGATTATACCAACATTAACTGTATCGCTTTCACTATTATGTCCCTCTATTTATATACATTAGTAGAATTTAGTGTACAATTAAGTACAAAAATTTTCGTATTTATATTGTGCAGTCTACATATTTTGTATATTATAATTTCAATTTTAAATTTTTATGTTATAAACTGTTTTCTTTTACAAAGAGCTGAAAAATAATTTCGAACACTTTCCAAAGTGCTAAAAAAATGCCGATAAAATTAACGCTCCAAAAGTAAAATACTGAAAGTATTGAAAAAATTAATTTTACTTTATTTACATTTTTTATTATTTTTTATTTATTTTAACAAATTTTTTTATTTCTATTCACCCTTTTATTGTTTTTTATTCATTTAAATTAACATTTTTTATTTTTATTTAGTTTTTTATTGCTTTTTGCTTATTTCTTTTTATTTTAATTTGTTTTAATTTGTTTTAATTTAATTCTTTATTTGCTATTTTTATTGTTTATTTTTTTAAATTTATTTTTAATGACAAAGATAGTGAACTGCGTTCAACAGTTTTGCATGGAAAGTTTAGTGGTTTAATTAAATTTAATTGAATCAAAGGGTTCATTAACGAGGAAAATATATTAAAATTTCTTTTTTGGAATATATATTTTTAAAAATCTAATAATGCTTGACACGTGTAGCCAAGCATATGGGAATTTGAGACATGCCCCTCATCTTTCTCATTCATCGCACCGAAAGTGGCGTTCAATCCGGAAAAGCATCCAAAAATGATTGACGAGCGAAGGCCAACGACTCTAAAAATATTAAAGCACATATTTCGTTGAAATACAGCTAACGTTATTTTCGTCTTCATTTTTCTCGCATATGCAAACTTCAAAATTTACATATATTGTCTTTTTCAAATTTGACTTTATAATATGAATATCAATTTTAAAAATCAATATTAGTTATTTTTAGACGCACAATTTTTAACTTTACAGAAAAAATAACGAATAAATAACTAACAAAATAAATAAATACTAAATAAATAACAAGTAACAAATGGCAAATGAATAGTAAATAAATAAGAAATAAATAAAAAATAAATAAAAATTATTAAAATTTATGGAAATTGAAAACTAATATGGAACTAAAATTTTGAGGAACTATGAATTTATTTATTGATCATTAGCTCTATTTAAATCATTTACAATTCAATTATTATCTAAAATTTTAACTGAAATTAATTTTGAAATCACTATTTATTAGAAAATTCTACTAGAATTCAATTATTTTTATACAAATATAAATAATTTGTTGAATAATTAAATGTTTCTTAAAATTCAATTCTGGTAAAGAATTTTATCAACAAATTTTTAAATAACTGAATTCTATCGACAAATTTGAATAAAATTTTTAAGAATAATTATGTACATTTTTCAAGAAATTTGATTAAAATTGTATTAAAAATAATTGAAATTCTGTGATGAGTTTGTATTATTTATAAAATTAATTAAATCCCTAAGAAGAATTTTATTATTTTTGAACAATATTTAATTTTTGCGAAAAATATTATTACTCTTGAAAATAATTGAATTTCTGCAATAATTTGTAACTTTTCCAAAATTAAATTTTTTTTGCGGGTTTTTAACTAAAATTCTTCTATAAATTCATTATTTTTAATAATTTTTTGAAAAAGTTTATTGAGAATTTTCAAATTCATTTGTTTGCAATTCAATTTTACAAAATTTCAATTATTCATAAATTCTTCAATTAAATATATATATTAGAAAATAAAAACTTGAAATAATTTTTAGAAAAATCCGCAATTAAAGTTTCTAAAAAAAAATTAATTCTACAGAATTGTTAGTTAAAAATATGCAAAATTTAAATTTTCAAAGATTTTAATCTGAAACTTTTTCAAAATTCAATTATATTTAAAAATTTAAGCTCTAATGCTTTTAATATTCAATTATAATCTAAAATTTTAATTGAAATCCAATTTTTAATCAATTTTTATCTATTTATGAATAAATAGATAAAAAAAAATTTCAATTATTTTCAAAAATTTTCATCAATTCAATGATTTTTAATAGGTAATAAAATTTTCCAAAAGAATTCAATTATTTAAAAAAAAATTTAATAAATTTCTACACAAACCTTCAATTATTTTTAAAAAATAATAAAAATTTCACAGGAATTTCATTATTTACAATTTTTTTTATAAATTTCTTCCCAAAAATTGAATTATTTTCATAAATAATAAAATTTTTCAGAAATTCAATTATTTTCGTAAATAATAAAATTCTTTTTTGGAATTCAATTATTTTCATAAATAATAAAAATTGATTTAATAATGGATTTCAGTTAATATTTTAGATAATAATTAAATATTTAAAGCATTATAGCGTGAATTTTTAAATATAATTGAATTTTGAAAAAGATTTTATTATTTACGAAAATAATTGAATTCCTGTAAAAATTTTATTATTCATGAAAATAATTGAATTATTGGGGAGAAATTTATAAAAATAAAATTTATAAATAAGGAAATTCCTGTGAAATTTTCATTATTTTTTGAAAATAATTAAAGGTTTGCGTAGAAATTTATTGAATTCTTTTTTAAATAATTGAATTTTTTTTGGAAAATTTTATTAAAATAGTAGATACCTATTAAAAATCATTGAATTAAGGAAAATTTTTTAAAATAATTGAAATTTTGACAAGAATTTTATTAAATTTTTGAAAATAATTGTATTTCGGAGAAGTATTTAATTATTTCTAAAAATAATTGAAATTTTGATGAGAATTTCAAAAAAAATTTTGAACATAATTAAATTTGTGCGATAAGAATTTTATTACTTTTGAAAATAATTTAATTTCTGCAATCATTTGTAATTTTAACTGATTTTGTTTAATTGAAATTAGTTTATAGAAAATATCTACTGCTTTGATTCAAAAATATTATTTGTTTTAATAATTATGTTTAATTCAAAAATATTATTTGTTTTAATAATTATGTTTAATTCACACATATTTTCTGTTATTTGATTTAAACAAAAATTATGTTAAAAAATTAATATCTTTTGTCTGTTTATCAAATATATTTGAAGTTTGATTTAAACAAAATATGTTTGAATCAAATAAATAGTTTTCTCAGTGCACATGACCAAGAATCTTTTTTTGAACATTCTAATAAAAATATGAAAAATAGAGAGGAAAATTGAAGAAAAAGAGAAATAGGTTGAAAAAAAGAGAGATTTTTCTCATCTTTATTTTGTCTAATTAATTGTTCAGAAAGTTTTAAATAGTGACTAGCAAGCTCTTCAGTTCTCTCTTCTCTTAATTATTTATCTTATTCATTGTCGACGAATGAGATTGGACGACAAAACGAAACACGGGACTATTTTACTCTTAGCAAAG